TACATTTGTTTCGATCGGTTTCAATTCTTACCGGGTGGAGAACACCTCTCTGGGCCCCGAGTTGTAGAAACTTGAGAATGGGGAACTTTAAGCTATTGAGATGGGTGCAGCTGCCGGCTTGTGGGTTGTAGAAATCGGCTCGTGAAGCATCGTCGATGTTCTCCCTGATCTTCAGSGAGCAAATGGTCTCGTCGATACCATTACGTCCTCTCTGTTGTTCTTGAATGCTCATGGGTGGTCGGATAACTTGAAGGCCTCTTTCCACCATGACGATATGACCCCTCTGATCGAGTTGGCATTGGAGCATCTGCGCTGTCTCTCGGTCGACATTGAACGCCTTTGCGAGAATCTCGACTTCGAATCCTTGGAAAATGTTGCCGGAACCCTCCTCTTGTGATTGGCCTTTACTTCCCCATGGACTTTGTTGTTGTTGGTGTTCCTTTTGTGGGTTTCCTGCAAGGTAGAATCTCTGCAAACAAGAMAGTTTTCCGGTGATCAGCAATGGCGATGATTACATATTCTTGAATCTCGATGTTTAACCGGTTAATAAGTATRTGACGATGATTACATGTTCTTGAATCTTGATGTTTAACCTGTTAACAAGTATATATATATATATATACAAAGAGAGGGAGGTTTAGGGAACCGGAAAAAAATGAAAAATTGAGGAAAACTCTGGTAACCGTTCATCTGTATGATATGAAAATCTACATACAAGTAATTGGAGTTGTTTATTGGTTTCTATGCAGATGCACATAACTAACCATTCATCTGTATGTTGTATCTTGATCTGTATACACGTGTGCATGTTATTTGTAAGCAATTTGTCCAGATGAATTGTTACCAAATCAGTTTTCCATTTTTTATGGTTTTCCTCAGAACCTGACCGTATATGTATCCTTACTCTAAAGTGTTGGTCGAGTTGGTTAGCAGCGTTAGTGGTGTCGAGCAAAACAASAAGAACGAGTTCTTGTTGTCCATCATTGTATATCCAGTGTGCAGCTCCGGCAGGGATGGCGATGATGTCACCTTGCCGGATGTTATAGAGCTTCTGGTGGCGATCTTGGAAACCTCCAACTTGTTGCGATACTTCATATGTCTCCGGGCAACCAGGCATCAACACCCCCTGAATACCGCAACCTATTACAAACAAAAAACACTCATAAAATCAAGATTATGTTATAACCGGAAACCACCGCAATAAAATTGAATTTATAGGACATAGAATACTTTATAACACATATGAAAAACAATGATCCAACCTGATGGTTTTGTGAAAAATATCTCTAGAATTGTTTCTTATAGACAAATGATGTTACCGTTTGAAAAAAAAAATCTAATCCGTCCTTATATATATATATATATATATATATATATATATATATATATATATATATATATATACACGATTCTTGAAATAGTTATATTTGTTTCTTATAGTCAAATGGTGTCACCTTTTGAAAAAACTTCTGGTATATATATACACGATTCTTGAAATAGCTAAGTACCTTGTTCAACATAGACCAGGATCGCGGCGTTTGTGTACGACGGCAAGAAAAGACCTTTGGGTTGAATGTG